GTCAGTGGTACTTGGCAGTGTAGATGCTGTGACCATATTTGCAGACATTGTTATTTCCTCTGATAATACTTTATTTGACCTGGTTCACTGCCTCTGCTCTCACATTCTTCAAAGAAAAGATTCAAGAGCCATACTGTGGGTAAATTTCTTTGGGCATTTTGTGTCAGTAAAGGCAGATTTCAGAGGACTAAGTCTTTTTAGGACTATTGAGCCCTGTGAAACATTCTCAGAAACAGACCATGCGGTCTGAACAGAGCACAGGGAGAGAGCAGCTGCTGTGACCAAGGAGGAGGAAGGTGTCCATTGAGGGCCGTCACACAGGAGGGGGGGTGGAAATGTACAGTCCTGCTGGCCGCTGTGATCACCTGGATGCTGTCTGTCAGGTAGACCCCCGAGGGGTAGATTAATATTAAGAGTTCAGGAGTGGTCCACTTTCTTGGATATTTAAATGGTCAGAAATGCCAGCAGCCATGTAAAGCTTCTTAGCTGAAATTCGTTTTACTGACATTTATCAGGATCTCATTGGAAAATCTAGAAACAACTAAAATGTACATACTGGATCATCTTATTAATTAAGAGCCCCATGTTCAGTAATGGCTTTCTGATTGTTACTAATCTGGAAAGTCATTATTCAGTCTTTGTCAAGTTTAAAATATCCAGTCACCTTTTCTACAACAATTTTGTCTCCAATCCTTGTGTACCTTTTTTTTTTTAGGTTTTTGCCATAGAGCGTATATGATCACTGGAGAGAGACAAAGAGAGAGAGAGAGACATTGAGATGGAAAGTGAGAAATCATTCCCCAGGGGGAATGGCCACACTGCAGTCCTTACTCCTCTTTCTCCCCCTGGAGGTTGGGCACACGCCTACACATACCCATTATGATTTTCAAACTGCCAGGTCTGGGACTCAGACTGAAGCGAGCCATGTGGGATCCAGCCACTTTAACCACCACACCACTTTTTTTTTTTAAAGTTAATTTTACATTGTACATTTTATCATCAACAGGTAATAAACCATTTCTGTGTCCCACAAACGTCTTGCCTCTATTTTTTCTTCCGGATTTCTTCCCTGTAATTTTCCCTTCTCCCACTCTCCTTCCTTATGGTTTCCATCATTCATAACTATTTTCATCACATTTATGTCCTCTAATCTTTCAGTTTTTACCATAGAGTGCAGAGTCAGTATATATTAAATGGAGACATACAGTATCTTTCTTTCATACATAGCCTGGCTTGCTTCACTCAGCAATACATCTTCCATATATTGTACCTCTTTATCAAATGTCAGGGTCTTGTTTTTCCTTTTGTTTTTTCTTGAATAGCATTCCTTAGAGCATATGTCCTGCACTTTTTCAATCTGTTCATCTGTTTGTGGACACTTGGATTGATTCTATGTCTTAGCCATTGTGAATAATGCTGCAATAAACATTGATGTGCAAGTGCTTTTCCGACTGAGCATTCTCCTGTGTTTTGGGTAGATACCCAGGAGTGGGATTGCTGGATCATATGGTAGTCCTGTTTGTAGATCTTTGAGGAACCTCCAAATTGCTTTTTACAATGGACGAACCAATTTACATTCCTACCAACAGTGTAAGAGAGTTCTCCTTTCACCACAACCCTGAAAACACATAGCATTTTTTATGTTTTTAATGTTTGCCATTCTGGCAGGGATCAGGTGGTATTTTATTGTGGTTTTAGTCTTCATTTCCTTTATGATGAGGGATGTTAAGCATTTCCTCAGATGTTAGTTGGCTGTTCATATATCTTCCTTAGAGAGATTTTTGTTCAGCTCCTTTTCCCATTTTTAATTAGGTTAATCATTTTTTTCCAAGGTAAGTTGTTTGAGTTCCCTGGGTATTCAATTTATCAATCCCTTATCTAAGGCTCATTTTACAAAAATATTTTCCCATTCTGAGAATTGTTGATTCATACTAATTATTGTTTCCTTTGGTATACAGAAACTTCTTAATCTGAGATAGTCCCACTTGTCTATTTTAGGATTATTTCCTGCGCTTTGTTAGTCTTATTTCCCAGTATTTTCTACTGGTAGAGTTATAGTTTGGGTTCTTAGGTTCAGATCTTTGATCCATTTTGTGATTTATGGATGGTAAAAGATGGGGATTGAGTTTCGTCTTCATGCATGTGGATACCTAGTTTTTCCAGCACCATTTGCTAAAGAGGTTTCCCTTTTCCCACTGCATTGACTGGTATCCTTTGTAAAAAATTAGTTGGCTGTATGCTTTGGGGTTTATTCCTAGGGTCTCTATTCTATTCCATTGGTCCACCTTTCTGTTTTTGAGCCAGTACCATGCTGTTTTGATTATCACAGCGTTATAGTATATTTTGGGGTCAGGGATGTTATACTGCCCACTCCACTCATTATACACAGGCTTTCTTTGTCAGTATGAGGTCTTTTATGATTCCAGACAAATTCTGATTGTCTTTTCTAGATCTGTGAAGAATGTCTCTTGTAATTTGATTGGAATGGCATTAAATGTGTAGATTAATCAGGATAGAATTTCCATTTTGATTATA